ATTCCTCCAACTCTGGCCTGGTGACTCCTGTCCCTGGTGGGTAGGCTTCAGGCCATTTGTGACCACTAGACATGACTGCCTACATCCTGGTCCCTTACACATGTATACAGGATAGCTGTGTGATCTTGAATACCCTTTCAGTGTCTGTAATGTGACTGCCTGTAGAAAAAGAATAACTGAAAATAGTTCTGCATCCTGGAAATAAACCAAAGGATTCTAAAGGAGCTGATTATTCCATTTCCTAGATGGCTTTGTAAGAGCAGCAGCAAATGAAAACAACTTTTCTGCTCTCACATAGCAGAGGCACGTGGTGACATAGAAAGAGCCTGGGAAGGAACTACTGGCTAACAGCTGAATGAGATGATTATTCATTTTCAGAAAAGCAAAATAAGTACCACGCATAGTTGAAGAACTACTATGCATAGTCTGAAGATCAAATTGTATTAGAGGTATAGACGGGTGATGAACTCAGAGCACTAACTGAAACCAATGTGGAACTAAAAAACGACTCTTTCATATTGTTTTTTTTTTTAAATGCACTATGACGTAGCAAATTGTATATGTAAATACGTTGAGCCCATCAGCAAAGTAAATGACCTTTTCATCTCAAAGGGGTTAGCACAACTAAGTGCAGCCTAAAATTCCTTGGTGCAGCAGATGGAAAGGTTTTTGTGCCCTCTTCTTGCAGCTCTGATTGCTCCTGCCCCCTTTGGCACTTTTCTGCGTCACTTTTTCCCTACTGAAGCATGACACTGATTAAGATTACTTGTCTGGATTCTGGGGACAGCTGGCTGAATCATTCACTGCATATTAGAGCTGGTCAGAATTTTTTTTCCCCTGAGGAAGGATTTCCACCCCCAAAATAATGAAAACCAAAATATTTTGATTCAGATATGCCACTGCGGTGCCTTATAGGAACTGCAGTTTGGGTGCCTCATGTTCCCCCCCTCCCCCATTCTCCTCTATGGGCTGAGCTCCCTGGTTGGATTAAATTTCCTGGGATGTACCCTGGTCTCTCCCTCTGGTGGGGAGGCAGTGATTCATGGAAGCCTGATCCCAGAGGCGAATGGGAGACATAAGGCAAATTAACTGCAGCTCTCGAGGCACCACAGTGGCAGATCCAAATACAAATATTTCAGTTTTCAGACAGTTGGTTTTTCAACAAAAAAAATAATAATTTTCCATGGAAAGCAGATACTTTTTTATGAAAAATTTCGTTTAGCTGAAAACCAAGTTCTCCAGTGAAAAACAGTTTCAATAAAACAAATTTGAACAGCCCTCTAAATTATGTTTTTTTCTGACCACAAATACTATATCCCCATGCACATGCTTGTCAATTTGTGAAATGCCTTTAAGATTAAAAGCACTGCATATATAATAGTACTTTGTACATTTATATAGGTGTGTAAAGATTCAATTTTTATCCATAAATGTTAACAAACATCATTTCACCCTACACACACAAACCAATGACAAAATATTTCCATCAATGATCACTGAAATTTACAGATAGGCAAAGTAAGAAATTATGCTTGAGAACATATCAGAGTCTGATTTAAGGCTATTTATTTTGTCTATTTTGACATGTGATGTTGATAATTTGTATTGTAATGGTTATAAAGCTTTAACTTTTCAAATGCAACATCTGTCATTAAATAATTGTCTGACTCTTCCCCCCCCCCTTAGTTCCTGCAACTATGAAAACTTAAAAATAGAAAAAATGCTTAAAAAAACATTGATATTTCTATTGAAATTACAGTAGAACATCAGAGTTACGAACTGACTGGTCAACCATACACCTTATTTGGAAGTGGTAGTACACAGTCAGCCAGCAGAGACAAAAAAAAAGAAAATACAGTACAGTACTGTCTTAAACATAAACTACTAAAAAAATAAAGGGAAAGTAGCATTTTTCTTCTGCATAGAAAAGTTTCAGAGCTGTATTAAGTCAATGTTCAGTTGTAAACTTTTGAAAGAACAACCATAACGTTTTGTTCAGAGTTATGAACAACCTCCATTCCCAAGGTTCTACTGTATAAAAGAATACAAATCTACTTCTGCCAAGCCCATATTTACAGCAGCTTTCATCCAAGGATCTCAGAGCATGTTACAAGCTTTAGTTAAGTTAGACTCATAACACACCTGTGGAGTAAGAATTATCCCCATTTTATGGTAAGGGAAACTGAGGCCTGAGAGAGCAGTCAGAACAGGATTGGGCTGTTAAAGTCAACACATGTTTTGGCATTGACTTGAATAGGAGCAGTATTTGGCCCAGTGGGACTGGTTCAGCTTCAAACAGGAAATCTGTGATGGAGCTGGCATTAGAACTGAATTATTTTTACTCCCAGAACTGAGACTTAACCAAGAGACCATCCATTCTCCTCTAATATGGTTTGATCAACAAAACCATAAACCCCCCTACAACAAAGTATGAGGCTTAACAAGCTGGCAAAGTGTTATTTCTCTTAAGACCTTTTTACTAACTGTGGCCCTCATGAAAGAATACTCTGTTCTGTACTCACCAGCCCTTATACTTCCCTTAAGTTGCTGCTTGTCTCTGCACCATTCCTTTTAGCCCCTACTGCTATCTTATCAATCCTCTGTTTATAAGCCTGTAGCCTGGAAAATTAAACAGAGGTTTTTCTAGCCTCCAAAAGCAAATATATTTAACAAACAGCAGACATCATTTTCAATTAGGCTAAAAGTACGAAAATATTTCAGCATGTGAAATCCCCTTATATCTATTCCTGTGGGGGAAAATGCAGCATTAGCAAATTATAATAGAATGCATTGTTCACTGACTGCAGTGAACTACTAAGGCAAAGGTTGTCTATAAGCATTGAAATAAAGAAATCCCTTACAGAATATCTCATTTGGACTCTGCCATTAAGTAGCCCAGTGGTTTTCAAACTTTTTGTATTGGTGACTCCTTTTACTCAGTAAGCCTCTGTGTGTGACACCTCCCGCCCTTATAAATTAAAAATGTGGGGAGGGTAATTCAATTTAATAAGGGCTTGGGGCTATCAGCCCCACAGAGCTGACAGCTCGCGACCCCACTGTAACCACCTTGCGACTCATGAGGGGTCACGACCCCCAGTTTGAGAACCTCTGTAGCCCTACGAAAAAAGGGGAATTGGGAAGGGATGCAAATAAGTTAAAAACAAATCTTATAATATTACATTAGTCAAGTTGGATGGCTTCTTACAATTAAGACAAATTTTAACTGGATCTTGGTCCCACTCTGAGGTAAATCAGTAGTAACTCCACTAAAGTCAATTATGTTGCACCAATGTAAAACTGGCATTCATGAGAGGAGAATCAGGCCAATTATGTTAGAATTGGACCCCATTCTCATTCCACTTACATAAGTTTTAAGCCAGTAAGCAACTCTCACTGACTTCAGTGGTTACTTGGATTTACATCGGTTCAGTGGATATGAAAATCTGGGCCTCGCCCCATAGCCTGTGGGATTGTGTAGACAAGATGGAATGGATCTGTTGGCTCAGCAATAAAAAATGAATCCATCTTTTAAACAGCAGTTTTATCCCTCAAGGTTATAGTTCTGAACTTTCACTGTCCACTGATTACAACAAGAGAAAAACTCACAAAAGTGTTCTACTAGAAAACAGACAGGATTCCCTCCTACTGTCTAGGTATACAGCCTAGTCCTAGACCATAACAACTGGGTGTGGTACTCTCCCTTCTTAAAGGCTTTCTTCTCTTACCATGTGACTGTCATAGTTTTTTCCTATATAACTTCTGATAACATTCTTGAGCATTCAGTCCCCAACCTTGCCTTGTGACTCAGCACTTGTACTTGTGTATGATCTCAAAGCATGAAGTTTGTTATCTGTCAAACAGAAAGTTAACATGGACTCTGGACCCTGCTACAGGTTCATTGACACAAATGGCAGAACAAAGCTAACAAAAACTTACATAAGACCCTGATTCAGCAAGGTATTTGGACAGCTTGTGCTTAAAGTAGGGTGACCAGATGTCCAGATTTTATAGGGACAGTCCCGATATTTGGGGCTGTCTCTTATATAGGTGCCTATTACCCCCCCACCCGCTGTCCCGATTTTTCACATTTCCTGTCTGGTCACCCTAGCTTAAAGTCAGGCGCATGCCAAGTACTTGGCTAAATCAGAGCCTTAGTAACTATCTATACATGTAATCTGTGTCCCAAAAGGTCCCATCAAATACTTCTGAACTCTGAACATTGGACAGTTAGCGATCACATTTGACTATTCTGGTTTGTAATTGGCTTTACAGAATGAATCTGCCAGCTGTCCATGCCTTTGTTAAATAAAAATCCTTTTGTGTGAGCTTAGAATGGCTTCTGTAGCTAAAAATCTGCATATAAGATTGCTGTGGAGCATTGCCATTTCTTCATCTTTTCAGCCTAATGTTATTGCCTAACACACACAATCCTATAAGGTTTCCTATTATTTCAAAACTTGTGAACAGGCTGCAGTGGTAAAGCTAACAGGGGATCCCTGTGAGATTCTGCCTACAATTAGGTTAGTTTTTTCACTTTTATGTAGTAATTCTCTCCAAACCAGATGAAGGCCACTCTAGAGCCTGGTGAAATTGGTCTGATCACATGGGTTTACACAAACCTTCCAGCAGTTTTGAGTCATCCTGATTTACCACAGTTCAAGTTTTATTTTCATTCTTCATCACTCCCCCTATCCCATCAGCCATGCACGTCACACCCAGCCTTGAACTTTATTCAATACAATTTACAAGAATATACAAAGGCCAAATGAACACACTAGAGATTACGAGAAAAGGATCCCTCAACCAGACCTTAAATATGGAGCAGCTACCACCACCCATAATATGCTACTAATGCAAATTTCTCTCTCAATTCAGGTTTCTTTCCCTATTTAATAAATCATGCAGAATATCATGACTTCTCCAGTCCCTACTATCACTGGAACAACTGAAACAAGCTGCAATGACCCAAGTTTTCAAACAAATATCCTTTATTTGCTTACCTGGGAGTTCTTTGCCTTTTTCTTGGATCTTCTCAGAATAAGTCAGTGATTCTTTTGAGATGTTCTGTTTATCTGTCAGTGTTCTAAGACAGAAGACACAGTTATAAAAAAGTTATCTATAGAGTACCTTTAAAAATCAGCTACTACATACTACAAAACGGAGAGATTATATGGCTCCTGGGAATGGAGAGCCTTTTCGCCTCTTGGTCACTAGTTCTAATATGACCACATTAGTGACTGAAAGCATTTCCTATCTGATGGCTGATATTCTCATTTCACATGGTGTAGATTATAAAATCTCAGTCCAAATCTACAGAATAAAGTTAATATCACCAAATACATCATCACACTGGGCACTAATTGACATGTTGTCGGCAGTCACGGACATGAATTGTATGAGTATAAATTGTGAGCATGTTGGCGATACAGTATGTGGAAGATTTCACTGCTGATATCTGTACTATACCTGTTAAAGGGATTAAAAACAAGGGGAAGAGACTCTTAGTTCCAAGTACTATTAATCTAGCACCTGTTACAAACAATAAAAAAAAGTTGTCAAAGCACCAGAATCTTTATCACAAGGATGAAATTTGCCCCTCCACAGAAGTTTGTTGCAGGGTTGCAAACAACGTATACTCGCCTTTGCACACACGTAAAACCAATGGCCACCAGAACAAAAACCAACTGGCTACTTCAAGTATTTAGGGTTCATTTGAGCCTTTAAGACCCTGCTCCAGGAGGCCTGTGACTGACTCAGGCACAATGAGACTGATCCTCCATTGCCTCACACTTGTGTAGTCCTTGATGCTTGTGCCAGGTGGATGCACAATGCTATAGAATCAGAATTCTCCCCTCATTATACCAGTGATGGCATCGTAAATGAGTGGAGGCTTTGAATTTGGGAGCTTTTTATGCCCACGTTACACAGGTGTAAATGATGGCACAAGCTGCAAGCACAAGCTGCAAGCCCATTGCATCACACTTGGAGAAGTTGCAGTATCTGCTCTCCTGTGTGCCTAGCCAGATCTGCTGGCTGGCGTAGTTGGTATAGTGCAGTACTTTGTAAAAATTGATGTCAGCAACAATGCTCATATTTATAGTTAAAAAAAAACACCCCACAGACAATCCAAATTGGGAGCAAAAATCTTTGGTGTCCAATGATTCATGAACGTTATTAAAATGGTTTTAGAAACATTAGAATAATGCCAGTAAGTATTACTTTTCTCCTAATGCCAGATATTCCAAGCAGCAGTGCAGGATTCCCATCTCTTTCTCACCACTGAGAAAGAGCTTATGTAGTAGCTAAACCTCAGCAGCCTGCGGGGTCTTGTAGTGAGTCGGTGTGGCTCCCTGGAGCCCCGGAGAGGGAAGAGCCCATCCGGAGGTCAGAGTGGGCGGAGCCAGGGAGCACTGAGCCCGCCCCTCCGAGGGTCAGGCAGTGACCCAGAAGCATAAAGGCTGGCCCTCAGAACTCAGTCAGGCCCCAGCCGCCGAAGAGACCAGACATCTCCAGCCTAGCTCGGGGCGGGGAAACCTCGGTGACCCAGGGCGGCCGCCAAGAGCCGCCGGGCCTGCCCTGCGCCTGCTACCCCGAGGAGCCACCGGGCTTGCCCTACGCCCACTACCTGGAGGAGTTGCTGGACTTGCCGAACGATGCCTGGCTGGACGAACCCATGAGCCAGGACCCCCCCGAGGCCAACACCAGCCCTCAGGTAGGCCCAGAGGGGGAGAGTGGAAGTAGCCCGAGTGCAGCCGACTCCAGTCTGGCTGCAGCATTACCGGAGCCTATGTCAGTGTGTTGCAGCCAGGATCCCCACTGACTACGCAGCGGGCCTTCTGCCGCTGCTAGGGCCCCGGGCTGGGACGCAGTGGAGTGGGACGGCCTGCGCCCCCCCTGCCACCCAACCCGTGAGTGGCAGTCTCCCCCTCTCCCAGGCCTGTTGTGGCTTAGGTTATACTGTTGCTCAGCCCTGACTGAGGGCCTGAGATCCTGTCCCAGTGTTTGTTGCCCCGCCCTGACCTAGGGCCTGGGCTGAAATACCTTTTACTGTTGCTCAGCCCTGACTGAGGGTCTGAGCCCGGACATAACGTTGGTGTCCGCCCGAAGCTAGGGTCGGGCTTATCGTGCCTCTCAGGACAGCAAGGACCACCGGGGAAACCCTGCCGCCAGACAGAGTGCCCAGCCCCAGTGGGTAGTGAGTCGGTGTGGCTCCCCATCGCCCCGGAGAGGGTCGAGCCCCGGCAAACTCTTGTACAGGTCTCCATGAGCAGAACTCTGAATGGTCAATGAGTGGAGCCTTTAGAACAGCATTTCTCAATAACAACAAAAAAAGACAAGAATGTGCAAAGCACCTTATTTGTTTAGGTCCAGTGAAGACTAAAGACAACTGTATATTATTTTTATTATTGAGTCTACAAAAAAATACCCTACATAAATAAATTGTAATGATTTGGACACGTATATGTATGTATATTTATTTGTTTTTCCTAAAGTTAATTAAGAATTTTAGGAAAAATTGTCAGAGCTGCCACCAGCAAGAGTTGGTGGCTGCACTTTGAGGCCACCAAAAATTTTGTTGTGAGAACCCCTGCTTTAGAAGTGACTGACTGCACAATGCAATACATTACAGAGAAATTTTAATAGCTTTGTGTATTTCTGATTTTATTAATATTTCAAATTCTAAACTGAACTGTGTTACTAAGAATCTCTTAACCCTACTCCATTCTCACCCTCTGGACAGATCCATCAGGAGAGGACTGAAGGAAACACAGGCTAGTTTTTTAAAGGAGTTGCAAAAACCCATTCCTCTGTATTCACACACCCACATCCATGAGCCCTGAAAGCAGTATGCACTGTACAGGCTTAGCTCCTCCCTCCACCACTGCAGGAGCACTGGAAGCACTCTCCACCCCACACGACATAATTTTGTTTTAAAAGTCAAATGAACAAAAAAAACCAACCCAACAATGCATGAGTGAATTTCAGATACCCTTGTCATGTAGCACAGAGCCAGTGTTCAGGCCTACTGTTCACTGCCTATCTCAGTGACTATCGTTTATGTTGATAATCATACTTTATAATACAATGAACAACCATACGATAATCTTGGAAATCATTATTACTATTTATCATTCACAATGAGGTAGCATTTAAATACTTCAACCAGGATGGGCCCCACTGTACAAACATATAAATGAAAGTTCCTATCTTGGAGAGTTTATCATTTAAATGACAAGCTATAACACGTGGATGAGACAAAGAAGTGGACCAAGATGTGATGTGAGAGACAGGTTAAGAAATATAATAGAATGTGTCCAATTCTTTGCCTGTCAGTAATAGTGATCACAGCTCACTTCCTCCTTAGCCATTATCAGTTTGCAGTTTTCTATATGTACACAGGAGAGGTGAGTTTTAAGGAGGGACTTTGAGGATAAGGAAGTGGCTTTATTAATTTTTTATTGACTGGGAGTTTTTCTCCCACTCTTAAAGGGCAACATGTGAGAAAGCATGAAAGGACTTGTCTGAGAAGCATTGGTATCATCAGCCACACAAGGTGGGAGATCCTATGATAAGGTCAGATATGTATGGTAGGACTAGATTGTGGAAGGCTTTGAAAGTAGAGATAACAGGTTATATTCGATGCAGTGGAAGAGGAGGAGTCCATGGAGGGACTTAAAGAAAGTGGGGAGGAGGTTACATATACTTCCATTTTGTGGATGATATGAATATTTAGAAATTTGGTTTTATCCCTGTAAAGAAGAAAAACCAGAAGTTTCAAAATTCTTCCCAAAAAGAAATGGAACCCCTGCTCTGGGGCAGTCTGCATGGTGGGCTGCTTCAAAGTCTAAGATCCTAGAGGCAGGTTTTCCATCAGAACCATGTCTGGGTTCTGTGGGAACTCTGTCAAAATAGAACTGTCTTCACAAAATATTTTTATTACAATGAACCGGAAAATTCCAACAAAAAATATTTTGTCAGAATTTTTCCAGCCAACTCTAGTTACATAAACAGAGTGATGGACCAGGAAGATGACTGTAGCAATTTAAACATATGTATTTAAAAACTAAGGCCTAGTCTTCACTTACCGGCTGGTCCGGCGGCACGCCATCGATGTTCTGGGATCGATTTATCGCGTCTGGTTAAGACGCGATAAATCGATCCCGGATCGATCCCGGAAGTGCTCACAGTCGGGCGCCGGTACGTCCAGCTCGCCGAGAGGAGTACGCGGCGTCGGACGGGGGGAGACTTCCGGCCGCGTCTGGACCGTGGTAAGTCCGGACTAAGTGGGGACCAGCCCTAAGAATAAGTAATAAACTATTTTTAAAATATGTATAGTACCATAATTTCAAAACATCTAAAATATATTGCTGACAGTTCTTTTGTTAGCACATTTTAACAAAATATTTTAAGTTTAAAAATGTTGCTCAATAAAATTTCTTTTATATTTAAATATATTTTTAATGCTAAGATCTTTTAAACCATATTTATTTTACATCAAGAAACAAAATTTAAACAAACAAAAACTAAGTCTTAGTAAAAAGGTAATTGAATGTTACAAATGTTCCTCATTATTTCATAAACCAATAGCAAAAACCATTCAGAAAACACAGATCTGAGTAACAGGATATCAGAAATACAAGGCTAAAAGGAAATTAGATTAAGAATCAAGAATCAGGTGTTCATTAGAATAGAGAAGAGGTTGTAATGTAGCTCCTAGGTCTGTACATCTTGTAGTTTACTCCAGACCTCCAAACCAAATGTGAAAAATGATCCTCTTTGTAAATTACCTTCTTAGTATATTTATTCCTTTCGGCTGCAATGTGTTCAAAATGATATTTCGAACATTCACAATTCCAGCAAGTAGAAGTCTTTTCCGGAACCTAAGATTAATGTCAAAGCAATAGATATTAGAATGTCAATAGCTTTGGGGGGGCTGGAACCACAGATGCTAGGTAGCACTGCAGATTTCAGCTATAGAATTTGGATACCCAAATCATTATCCTCATCTGTGGACCCCTAAGTAATTAAACACCTACCTTGTGCCAAGAGCTTTTGGATGTAGGTGCTAAACCGTGACTTTCT